AAGGCGTTTAGTACCTCCTGTACAGTCAGTTCGTAGGGGTAGGCCTCCAGCTTGCCATCGGTCAGAGCGATGATGATGGTGGATGACGGAGATGTTTGTGTCTTCATCTGCTCCGACACCTGAAGAGTGAAAGTTGACACAAACTCAGTGCAGCTCACACACACACTGTGCACGTGTGTTGCTTCTAAAACGATAATGACACTTTGACTGTTGTATGTTTTGGATTGCTGAAACACTTTCTGTTGCCAGACCCCGTGGGGAGCTGCTGGAAATATCTGATAACACATCTACTTTTTTATTTTTTTTTATCTATTAGAATGTTACAGTGTCCAGTGAGACCGAATGGACCAACATATACAAGGCACATAGCCGTGTTTTAGAGTAGATTTTACAAACTCTAACTAAGCACATTTAGTATGTTAATTGTATTGAATTCCCCCTTTCGGTAAGTTAGAAATATGGTTCCTGGAGGGCAATCAGATGAGTGTATCTACCGCTTTCATGCCTTCGTGCATGTACGTTTCCCCAGCAGGTTTGATTTGGCTCAGCTTCTCCAAACCCTCATCTATCTTTGACCTGCGCATCCAGATCACAAAACATGGACAACACAGTTTAAATAAAGACTGATAAAAGCTCAGTTTCTGTGTGATCTGGTTATCTGTGTTATGTTGTTCCTCCATGAGGAGCAGGAGGAGAAGGAGGAGGAGGAGGAGGAGGAGGAGGAGGAGGAGGAGGAGGAGGAAGAGGAAGAGGAAGATGGGTTAGGGAGTTAGGCAGAGAATGAGAGAAAGAGAAGAAGGAAAACTTTAAAAATGAAAACTGGTACCTGTCTCCAGTTAGTGGCAGTATTACAACTGCTCTGGCTGAAAAGACTATGTAGGAAACCCTCATCCTGGGACTGAAACACACATATACAGGAAGCTTGTGAATCCTGTCTGCAGTACAAAAACACATCATTTGTACTGTACTGGTACTAGCTGTGTAAAATAGCAATAAAGTTAAATCTAATCCAACAACATTATACAACATGACAAACCCGAGCACGCCACAATAATACATGATTTACATAGCAACATGGTAACAGAACATGACAAGACATTATGACTTTTCAACGTGATATAATTAAATGTATTGTAATGAAATGACAATACACAGCAAGACATATAATATGACTTTCCATAATCCTACAAAATGTGGCAAAGCAGATAATACCACGCTGCAAAACATGACATGACATAAATAAACCAATCACAAAATTAATATTACAATAATCAAGCTGTATTTGTTTTTACTTAGTAGGGAATTGAACCCTTAACCTTGTCACTGTTACTTCCTTTCTCTGCCCTTCAGGCTGTGAAGTGATACAGGACAGCCTGTTGTGGCCAGCACCAACTTTCACATCTGGCTGGATGTTTTGATTTCATATTTAGCAACCTGTTATTAAACCTAAAGATATCTCACTCACACACACACACACACACACACACACACACACACACACACACACGCACACACACACCCTCTGGACCATTACCCAGAGGGATTTTGGATCAGTTGGTGGCCTTGTATGATGTCTGCTGCCCAAAATAAACATGGCCTACTTTCTGCTCACTACCACTTCCCAGTGTTTAAAGTAGTATTTTTTTCATTCGTTTAAATATGACTGAAGTACATTTTATATGCCTGCTTGCCTGCAAAGCACTTTTTAACTTGGTTTTATTCTTCCAATATTTTCCGAGGCTATTTACAGTATAGACACCCCCAAAATCGGAGGAGGGGGTGAGAGGAGAGGAGGGGCATGGAGAGAGAAGAAAAGGAAACAACAGCCACTTTATTTACCTGACAAACCTGTTGGTGAGCTGCTCCACAAATCCATATATCTCATTCCAATGTCCAAAAACACTGCCTGACCTGCAAAAACAAGCAGCACCGGGGCAATAAATCACACTCACCCAGACATGAAGTTTCAAATATATCCAACACAAGATTAAACACCAAGCACGCTGAGCCCTGAAGACGGCACAGGCGTGTAAAAAACACATTTGTGTAGCTTATATCGCCTGTATAAACTGCATAAATTAAGTTGTGATGCTGCAGAATGGGTCTTGCAGGATTTATTCTGTTGTTGCTATGACATAAACAGAAAACTTTTAATTTGTTTTTGTTGGAAGGTCTGTAATGGACTTCGTTTGTTGATTACGACATACACTTAGAGGAACTCTGAAGGCAATAAAAGTGAACTTTCTTTAAGTATACACATCAAACACTGATGGTCGGAACAGAAGATACACTCTGTCCAAGTTTGCAGTGAAGCAGCAGAGGAACAGAACTAAACACAGCCATACATGGAGAGGACTGAGTCAAGGCTGTCTCTGCACTTTAGTACCAAATATGACATTCATATATTGTTCTCTCCTGCGGTTGGCTCCTATATTCCAGAAAAACACATGCATGCAGACAGATACTCACCTGTCTAAAACAAAATAAATATCAAACGCTCCATCACAAGAAGCGTCGTCGCCATCATGCAACGACGAATTAACGCAAACACTTAGGCAAAGTAGGATTTGGCAACATATCCATATCAGATCCATAATCCGTGCGTTTCATATCAGCAGTGTGTTTCTTCAAAAAAGTCCCCAAATCAGCAGCTGCGAGTCTGTGTTCATCATCTTGTCAGCATCAGCCCGGCGGTTCACATGTTGGATCCCTGCTGAGTGGAAGCACAGTACCCTACGAGGGTTCCCTGACTGCACAGTCATAATGAAATGAACGGGGCAGGGCGCACAGCTGCTGCACACGGTCAGAAGAGCAGCAATGTAAACAGAACGGAACTTCCCTCAGGATTCTTCAAATTAAACTGTACTGAAAACAGAATTAGTCCAAAGTTTGTCACCTGTCACTGGACGTAATTTATCTAAGTCTCCCTCAATAAAAAAAAGCTGTTAAAATAGTTAATAAGGGATGATGAAACAATCATATTATTAATGTTAAGATGTCATACAGATTAAATCTAATTAAATTAGAAAAATCGAATTAAATCACAATTAGAATATGAATTTTTGTCATGTAAACAAAAGTATAATTGCATGTAATCTTGCACGAAAACCTTTTATTTTTTTCTGATTTTAATCCTTTCTGCTATGTCATACACCATTATGCTTTTATTTTGAAGGCAAAATAAAAACACATCTTCCTGTGTTGTAGATCTCATCTCGGACTTGACTTCTGGTTGCCGGAGCAGCTGGCATAAATAGAGACTGACTGAGGTAAAAAAGAATAGAAAGAATGTCAGACAGGATGACTGCCCTACAGAATATATGACCGATAGATAGATATGATTGGGTTTTAAAACAACAGAAGTAAGGGAGCCTCTTATAAAAGCAAGTAATCCCTATTCTTGTTCGTATTTGAAAAGTGTTTTTATCAGGGTGCCATATTTCAAGACCTACTGATCATTTGAGCAGTGGTTCATCACAGTGCATTTCTCACTGACTCATAAATCACTCCCTGTAATTATCAATGCATGCCTGATGTCTGTTTTCTTCTCAGAACAAACAAGTGCATCATGTTCCAATGAATTTGTTGCAGATGGAAAAAGGAATCAAATAGGCCAACATAACGCCCTTGGTATGTCAGAGTGATTTGCTGCCTTGCATGAGTATGATCCAAAATGTTACTCCCCGAAATAAATTAAACGTACTCCTTTGTCTCACAAGAAGAAGAAAAAAAGTCTGGATTTATTGATTGTTACAAGCACGTCTCGTCAACACCAAAACATGAGCATGTCCTCAAAAGCACATCATGTTTAAAGACATTAGCATCGAATTATGTTGAAAACATACATCATAAATCTAAGATGTCCAACACATTCCAGGAGTTATTTTATGGTGTAGCGCTGTAATTATACATCTCATTGTGTTTGCAGGGATCTGATGCATCTGATGTTTAAAATCAACTTTTAAGGAGGATGAAGTCATAACATTAAACCACTCAAATATTAACATACCAAAGTCACTGTGTCAGCAAATTTCATGGACGGCTGTTATGTATTATGTGATCTGGGCTTTTGGGTGTGGCAGTTGGACTAGGAGACAGAGGCTCTTGTTGCATGTCCTCTCCAATCATTGCACTCTCTCTTCTCCATTCAGATAAACACAAGCCATAATGTTTACAACAACTAAAGAATGTCAAAAAAGGAAAGAGAGATCCCCAAGTATTGTAAAATGGGTTATGAGGAAGATACTAAATTGTGTGCAAAATGACTAAAATGTATGAATGATGGAGTCTAATCTGTCAAACCAGAAATATTTAACCATCTCTTGCCTTGCCATCAGCCTTGGAACAAGTTGATAAAGAATGTATATGATAATGTCAGACAATGTGGAATAAAATTGCTTTCCCAACCTTAACTCAAAGTGGAAATGAAAGAATTCTGGGATTTTAAGGCCTACATTTAAAATAGGAAAAGTTAGCTGCAGGTGAATGGATACATGTATGTCAAAAGGAGGACTGGTCTTGTTTATTCCAGGCTAAAAGGACTGATGGCAGAATGGAGGGATCACTACCATGGCAGCCATGCTCTCCGTTGACTTCATTAAAAAAAACACAACAGAGATTGTGTTTCATTATAGGCCTATGCTGATTAGTCTGTGATCATATCCCTCCATCATAGCCAAAAACAAATGCAATTTCCTTTGGGGTGTAGCCCACAAGCCTGGTCTATTAAATGAAATATATTCATACTGTCAGACAACAATTTGCATTCTAATTAATGGTCGCCAAAAAGCAAGGGCGTGATTTTCATTTCAGCTCTGGTGGAGATATCTACTGGGAAGTGCTCACAGCAGTGAACAACAATAAGACATGTCAGCTAATACTTTATAGAGAGGAAAAACCTCATTCTAAGCCTTTAACATAGGATTTAAGAGGTATTTCTGCAGCAAAGCTCGGAAGATTATTTTGGCTCCATGTGCAATCCTCCACATTCACCAGTTGGTGGCAGTAACGCGCCGTTTCCTCCTTCAATACCAAAACGAAGAAGATAGGTTTGGTGTTATCCAGCAGCTGATGATATGTGTTTTGTTTGTTTTCTTTGACTAAAATGTAATCGTTTTTAACGCAATGCTAGCTTAATAGTCGTCCGGTTATGGCTGAATTGTCTGAACAAAGACATCGACGGTCCGACTGCGACTAATGGTGAGCTTTGTAACCCGGGTTTGAATGAGTTTAGCCGGCTACGTTACAGAAAAAATGCCTGTCAAGGTTAGCGTCGCCGTTTGCTATCCAGGAATTGAACTTGCTAACATGGCTTGACAGCAATGAAACGGTCTGACACATTGTTCCAAGATGCCAGTGCGTCTGTTTTTACCCAATATGTTAAAATGAACTACACGGAGCTGCCTCTCCTTGACCGGTGGTTTCTCTTTCCCTCTCTCAGCCTTAACCTCTCCCCGGCTCGCCAGTGGCTGAGAGCACGATGATGCTGAAGATGCCCCAGAAGCTGCTGAAGACCGCCCACTACATAGAGCTGGGCAGCTACCAGCACTGGCCGGTGCTGATACCCCAGAGGATACGGCTGTACACCTACGAACAGATCCCCCTCTTCCTCAAAGAAAACCCCTACATCACAGGCGGCTACAGGGCCCACCTGCCCTCCAAACTCTGCCTGAGGAGGTGGGAGACGTGCTGGAAATATATATATTCTGCATGTTATAATGAACATTCTACTTGTGTGTTCACGGCCTTGCTGCTTGTTGATGTGTGTTTTCCTCTGTTTCTCCGTTGCAGTATTTTCATTCTGTCCAATGAGACCGTGAACATTTGGAGCCACCTCCTTGGTTTCCTGCTCTTCTTCTCTCTGGGGGTCAACGACCTCTCATCGGTACTGCCAGCCTCCGGAGCGAAAAGAGAGGACTACGTCATCTACGCCATAGGACTGTTCTGCTTCCAGGTAAAAATGATTTGGCTCACCGTGTGTGTGAGGGAGAAGTTGCTGGTATCAGAGAAAGTCTTGCATCTTTCGTCCAGACCTTGTTTACTGTGCCGTTTAGACATGCAACTGAATGCAAACTTAATATAACTGTCTTATTATACTTGGTCCTCCCAGGGTCCATGCTTTTTAATTATTTACAGCGGTTTACAAGTGTCACTTAATTATGAACACCTGCATTAGCTGAGTATTTGTTCTGTATGTAAATAATGTATATATGGCTTAATAAACTGATTCATGAAGGTTCACGTTTCCTGCCGCAGGTGCAATCACCTCAACCCACACAGGTGTGTAAGCTGTGTGTAGGTGTAGCTGTTGTAAAGGCTGGACACAGTGTGTTGTACTGTAAAGAGCTACAATAGCAATGGCAGAATAGTTCAGAGACAGCGTTAATTGTTTCTGTTAGCTGTCCATTTAAGTGCATATTGTGAGTATCTAGACTGTCCCTAAAAATCACTATTCCTTGAGTTAAGTTAATGTATTATAGTCGCAGAAGGATTTTGTTGACTTGCAATGAGAAAAGGTGAAGATGTATTGATGAAACCAAAACTAATCCTAAAAAAAAATGCTCTAAACATAAAAATAAATTGGTGTTGGATGTCATGATTGCAATTGTTTCCCAGTCTGTAAATGGTACTGTGTGTTTGTATCGCAGGTGTGCATGTTGTGCTCTGTGGGGTATCACTCGTTCTCGTGCCACCGATCAGAGAAGACTTGCCGTCGCTGGCTGTCTTTGGACTACGCAGGCATCTCTGTCGGCATCCTGGGCTGTTATGTCCCCGGGATCTTCTACGCTTTCTACTGTAACGCTGTAAGCGGGAACGCTCAACGTTTTTTTTTTGTTTTTTTTTTTCTCCAGATGCTAATAAAGAAACCACATGCTCTGGCTCTGATTAGACTGCATCTCATCGGTCACTCTCCTGTCTTGCAGTTTTGGCAACAGGTCTACCTGCTGACGGTGCTGTCCCTGATCCTGGCCGTCTTCTGCGCTCAGGTCCACCCTCATTACCTCAGCAACGAGTGGCGGCGGATTCGGACGGCGATCTTCTGCTGCGTGGCCGGCATCAGTGTGATTCCTGCATGTCACTGGGTCTGGCTCAATGGAGGATTCACCACTGATGTTGTACAGGTCAGGAAACAGAGAGATATTAGAAAACAAGCAAAGTGAAAGCGTACGCCTGCGCACACTTAGATTTCTTTTTACACTTCCGTGTACACTATTTTGCAGCTGTATTAAGAGAAGTGTTCCTCTAGTGATCGTGTGACTACTCAATCTCAGCACTTTCTTCCCCCGACTGTACAACGTTCAGTCATACAAACTTTGTTTTTTGTTGTGTGCGCAGCTGTTCCTGCCTCGTATGATGGTGATGTACCTGATCGCTGGATCGGCCTTCTTGTTCTACGTCACCAAGATCCCTGAACGCTGCTTCCCCGGTGAGTCATTCTCCTCCGGCTCTTTACAGAAATCTGTACTTGAGGTTACTGTGTGACTAGGAATAAACAAAAGTGACAATATATTTTTTTTTCAGTCTTTTTTTTTTTGTCGCAGAAGCCGCTGCTCCTCTCGTTAGCTTAGCTGTAGCTCAAGGTTTCACACGGGTTCAAACCTGTGTTGTCTGGCACAAAACCGTACGGTCTCTTCAACCGCACTGACCTGTTGTCAGCAGCTGCAGCTTAAACTGCATCTGTAGTTTGGTCTAAACCCAGTAGTTCTGTAGAAACAACCTGAAAACCACTAGAGGTCATCATATCTGAGGTTTACCTTAAACCTACTGCAGACATGGTCTTAACAGTAAAGATATGAAGGAAACGCGACAATACATATTAGAATAATGTGTAATTACATTGAAACTCAGTATGTGTAAGGTAGTGTGTTGCAAGTTTAGGACATCTGAAATGTTCAGTCACAAAAAATAAACCAATCCATACTGCAGTTTTCATATAATTTAATATATTTTACAGATTAGGGAAATAAGTACAATATTAGATTTGTTTAATACTGATCAAAATGTATTTTTGTGGTAGTCAGTAGTGCACGCAGACTTGAAATGATAAAACCCACACTGTATTGTTTCAGTAGCATTTGTCCAGCCGACCCTGAAAATCAAGCAGCTGTAACAGATTTCCTTAATTACCACTTAACGAGCCAATGAACAGTGCTGTGGTCTCGTTCATGGCAGGAAGATCACAGGTGTTACTAATAACAGTAACGATGGCACCACTCTAGGCAAGCGTCCCAGTGAGCCGTTGAAGCTGTGTACGCAAGAATATAAGGATGGACTGATATGTGACATGTTTAGGTAATATTTCGAGACATTTACATGTTAACTATCCTCCTAAAATATATTTTCATTCTTGTACATAGTGAAGAAAGTATGAGAATGGGGGGGGAAAAAAAACAACAATATGTACAGTATTTAGAGCCTTTTTCTCCCCCCTCCTCCTCCTCTTCTAGGCCAGCTGAACTACCTGGGTGCCAGCCACCAGGTGTGGCACATACTGGTGGTGGTGATGTTTTACTGGTGGCATCAGACAGCCGTACACATCATGCACTTCAGGCACAGCCAGTCGTGCCCGACCAGCAGCGGCTAAGTTGAAGCGATCCAAGGATGTTACGGGAAAGGCAATCAGTTGCGGGCTAAAAGCTATAAATGTCAGCAGACATCAGTTACACTCCTCATGTTAATATTCCACCACTTCTCACCAGTTAGCTGCTGGTTAGAAGTTGCTGCCTAAAGGTTTTTCAACCACTAGCTTGTGACTACTAGCTGCTAAGGTGTAAAACTGGGAGTCTAACGGTAGCTCTTAGCGTTCACTGAGCCGCTGGTTACTGTTTGGCTGCTGTTAAAGGCCAGTATATACATTAAGTCTACTGTCTCCACCAGTAGATATCAGCTAGGAGTGGCTACACGCTACTGTAAATCTTTTAAAAATTCGCTTAACCATTAAGAACCATGAAGCTGGTATTTAAATTAATTTGTAGGAACAGACTAAAGTTTGGTGTTTTTAATTGGTGATCATTTTTTTTTATCTCATGGTTGGTTGAGATTAGGAATTTTAATTTTTGTACAGAAGTTTTTAAAAAGATCTCAGAGGATTCTGTTGAATCAAACAACGCCTGTGTGAACAATTACCTTTTTTTTTTTTTGTGTGCGTATCAGTTCCTACAAGGTTAGATTGTATGAAAAGTATTGATGAAATGTGGAAAGCACAGAACAAAAACATGACAACTGCAAATTATGAACACTGTGAACTCATAAATAATGTCTCAACGCCTCGAGCATTTGAAGCTCTCGAACAAATAGCTAAAGGTCAATCTGTGATATCTACGAAGAAATTGTAGGAACCATATTTAGCCTACAGTACATTATTTTCTTAAAACTGCTTTTTTTTCTTTGTACTGTCTTGTCAGTTTTGAATAACTCTTCACGGTGGCCAAATCCAGTATGTTAGGGCTGCACTAGGCAAGATGTCATATCGGCCTTAATACCAGAGCAACAGAGTTAATCAATATATTGTACAATCAGCCTCTTTTGATATTGTTATTAGCGGAGTATTGCATTTGAACTGGTCAGTAAACAGGATGCGTCATCACAGGGCAAAGGATGAAAAAAGCCTGACAATGGCTAAATCCGATGATCGTCTCATGACAGCATGGTAAATGATCCCGGGCTCGTATTTGAAGTCACTGACTACTGTTTGTTTTGTTAGAAAGTGGTTCGTAAACCGGATTCTGCATGGTTCAAATGAGAAAAATGTTGATTGTAATATGGATGAAATAACCCTTTAACAACAGCTCGAACTGGACAATTAATACAACAAAACACCTTTTTTTTTTTTTTTTTTTTTTTGCTGACAATCCAGTGAGTGGTCGCACTTAAACTGTCTCTGATTGGTCAACACCTGTGGCTGATAGGGCAGGTAGCTAAAGCCAAAATTGTTGTCAGATGTCACCTTTGCAGCCCTTTGATCATAAAGTCGATCATAAAGGCTAACTGTGTGACAAAATTGTTGTTCTTGTCTGTTTTGATGCTGTTGTTTAAAGGAGGCCAGTGTTAAGTGTTACAGCTACCTGGAGCACTTATTTTTCTTCCCGCAGCACAGTTTGGGGCATATTTCAATGTTTAGACTTTACTTTTTTTAGCATAATTCCAATCATGTTTGTACATTTTTGCGTTATTATATTTTGAGTATTTGTACTGTATACGCACTTACTGTTGCAGTCTGTTAGTGGGTCAAAAACAATGATCAAACTCAGACCGGTTTCATCTTTGCTGTTACACAACAAGGCCAGTAGTTATTTTTATTTAGTACAACTCAATGCTTGGAACAAGTTGTCAATTTTAGTTGAGCTCACTTACTGCTGCAGAGCTGCAGAACTAGAAGTGGCACTATGAAAGAAGTGACTTTATTTTTGCCTTTTCGAGTGTGTGTTTTTAGTTTTCATCATGAACTGCGTGATTTAAAAGAAGAAGAAGAAAAAAATCATCTAATGATTGTTTTATCCCGTGTTTGTGTTTTCCTTGAATATCATTTACATGATAAAGCACTGGCGCTGATTTACGAGGTATTTATTTCAGTGCCTGTGTGAAATTATATTTGTATTATATTTTTAAACATTTTGAATGAATAAAGAATGCTGGGAAATAAATAGTTGGTTTGTCTTTTATCAATCGCTCAGGGTTACTTTGATTGATTGAATTGATTTTAATGTCTTTATCTAATCCATATCAATCCCATGATCATTGTAGAGGACGCATCATGTGCTTATGTCTGCTGTTCATACAATTGAACAATAGAGGGCAGTATTGGTACAAGAGTTACCAATTCACAAGCAAGAGATTTTTGTACAGATGCACACATTCGGTTCACCCCTTTGTTGCCAGATTTGACCAATTTAACCATCTGTTGTCTTCTAAGGAGGTGACTTCTCAGACTGTTTCACATTTGACGGCTTTCTGTTCAGCCAGGGTCAAGTCATTCACTTCAGTTAGCAAATTGAAAATGACATGCTTGTTAAACACGGGGATCTACTGATGACTCGGCAGGCCATTGGTCAAGTCACATGATCAAAGTATCGGTCTCAGAAGCAGGTTAGTATATTCTTCTAAAAAGAGACGTGTGTGCAGGGACTTTATATGTGGTTATTGAAACCACTTGTTTCAGATCTATTCCTCTCTGTTGACATCATTGTTGGACAGTGAATGACTGTGTTAGGATTCTGATCATATTGAGTTTGCTCAAAAGAGTTGTTCCTCACATAGCGGTGCTTCACATTGCTGCTTTTACTAATCGCCACGGCCTCTGAACATATGAGTCGTACTGGTTTTGAACTGCCAGTGGGAAGAATTAACAGATACGAGTCTGTTCATTCTTGGTTAAAGACTCCGGTCTCTCTGGTCTCGCTGTCCACATTCCTCTTTTTATAGAACACCATGTGAAATAACTTCTCTGACTCACGTAATACTCATTTTCTGACTACTCGGCCTGAGCTCATGCATGATATATGGAGCGGGAAAATGCTCCATTTGAAATATTTACATCACAATAAGAAGCATACAGGCAAATCAGACTTGTTTTGTTACAAGTGAAAGACTGACTTGAATAAGTACGACTGGGGAGGAACTCGCTACACTCAATATTAGCAGCTTTATGCAGACTGGACTCAATAGAAAGAGAAAAACAGTAAAGAAGTCCTCAGCATCAAAGTTTAAAGACACGTTATCAGACTCAAAGTTCTTTGTTAGCCTGTGTTGTCTTTAACTTTCACCTAAATTTGAGGATACTTTTAGTCTACATTTTAATTATTAATATTCACTAAACATGTGCAGCACACAGAAGACTATGGGATACAATAAGTATTTTGTTACCCGTCTGCAGTGTGTTATATGTCACTAGCTGGCATTGCTAATGTAGATTTTCTATCTCTTTACAACAACCGAACGGCTTAAAGTGCTCCTGTGGACAGAAGCTCAAATCCTCCCTGTGGACTTTTCCAGCTCTTTAACGGTCATTTTTGACTCTTCACTCTTATGAATGTCCTCCTTGTTAAACATATCTTGCACAGGTTTAACAGTTATTTTCATACAGTCATAAAGTAATGTGAATCATGTTGATGAATATGAATAAACAGTGACAATCCTTTCGTTTCATTTTATATGTATGTATTTATGTTTTCCTTGAACGTCATGGGACCACAAACAACTTTCTTCATTTATTAGAAAGATTTGTCTTTTCATGATCTGATATTTCCCTCAATAACTTTTATTAATTAAAGTCAGAGAGAGCTGGAGAGACGAAACACTTTTTACATAATTTATCATCACCATTCAGTCACGTGAGGCTGATCATTCCATAACATTTAAATGTCCCCCAAGCATGGAAACATTGAGCCTAATAAATTAATTCCAGTGTTCAAAAAACACCATAATCATATTCTGTGTTATTAAATAATGACTTCACAATCAGAATTTCAAAACAGATGCAAATAATTCATAAATATGACAAACGCAATCTGCCTGTAAAAATCGATCCTTCGCTTATAAACGGAATACAAAACACAGTATAAATACCACAGACTGTATATGAATACTCAATGCTGTTTGTTAAACAGCTAACAGGCTATAGATAGAAAACACCTCTCTGGCAGTCATGAAGTGTCTTTATCTGTTATTCGTATTACTGTTATTAAGTTCAATCATCATGTGAACAGGCACAAACTCCTCAAAAGTCTCTCTAGCTGTTAAAGCCGACTGACAGCTGATCCAGCTGTGATCAGATGATCCTCCGTCATCAGAAACAGACGTCGCTTCATGTGATGAAACTGAGGAAAGGTCGTCTCATTTCTCTTAAAACATATTTCCTCGTTTCTTCTCTCCTAGCATGGTTTCCTTGCGTCTCATGCATCCCTGGTGGGAGGGACTAAGACGCAAGGAAAAGACACAAGTGAGGGAAACAGGGATGCAATTAAGAGACTTGGGATGTTGTGCATTCCTCATTCTCGCTATCTCAGTTGTTTCAGATTTATTTAAAACACAAACAATCATTTTCTGATTTAACTCTTGTCTGGTGCCTGAATGATTGTAGTTTTCTTCTGCAGTGGCTTTGTTAGAATGATAGTTATGTTAGAAAATGACATACCATCACAAAATCACCTCATGCTGTAATGAATATTTGTGCAAATGGTGTCTGAGATAGTAATGATGGAAAACCATTGTGAAAATACAGTTGTCTTACACTTCATTTTTACTGGGTTTAACTTTTTTGCTCGGGCACATAACCCATTGTAAAAAGCTGAATTGTCATTTTTACACTTCAATTTTTGTACGAATTGAACAAACAAGATAAAACGTGTTAATTAGTGAGCTTAAGATGTGCTGCCACTGTAAGCAGATTTTGTACATTCAGACTTTCCCATATTTCCAGTCTTTGTGCTAAGCTAAGTTAACCAGCTGCTGGCTGCACTTCTAGATTTAATGGACACAAATATGTCCCCTCCCATGAATGACCATGGGGGCAATAGCTCCTGGTAGGCTCTCCAAAGGCAAAGAGTTGCAGCACCTCGCCTGGAAAAGGATATTGCTTCCTTTGGCAAAAAAACATTTGTCATTAATAGATATTCCCTTGCTATGATAAATGTTTGTTATTAATGCAAATAATTCAGTCACAGACACAAGCTCTTCACTAAAAACAGTTTAATTCAAGTATTGAACATTAAGGCAGTGTTTGTACTGTGTAGGAATGTTGAATGTCAACACTGTCAACAATGAAAGTCCAGCAGACTACACGTTTCTACAAATCTAAAACACGTGATGATTTAAGTTCCATTAATACATGGAAACAGTTTGATAACAAAATAAGTGTAGGAAAATATAAATTGTTAGGTTTCTAAATTTTACAAACACAAATTTCTATATTTTAATACAATGGCGGTTCATCAAAACTTCATGATAAAGTAGTAAAAGTAAAAATGCATCCTTTTTTAAGTATAACATAAATTGGGGTACTTTCAAGACCAATGTTTGCACTTGGCAGCAACAGGATAAAAGACTCAAGGGAAAAACAGTGATTTAATAACAAAAGAGAATAAATCTGCTCAACACAAAACATTTGATTCAACAAACCAGTAGTGGCAAAGTACAGTATGTGGCATCACCTGCTGCTATCAGTTTAGATATACATTTCAGAAGCACCCGAGAAGAGATTGCAGAGGTGTGCAAATCCTTCATTTTTACAAGAACAGATCTAGAACAGGTAGAGCTGCCATTAATGGGTCACCAGAGAACAGGGCAAGAGTACAAGTATGTTGTGATGAGCCATGGTTTTAAAGGCAAGGCTGTCTTGGTGCGAGACCGAAGCTGAAAAAGCACTCCTCGTGGGTCACGTAAAGCTTCTGTTCCCGCCACGGACGAGTGCTTCTTCTTTAAGTCAGGAAGAGTTTAATTAATAACTGGCCTTTAGACATGATTTTGTGCTCCAATGTCACAGTTGGAAGGTCAGGAAATACTGCCAATAGTGGCTGAATCTTCATGTGTGAACTCTGGACTCCTGGATCAGAGCCATTATGTACTTTGGCAAAAGGCTTCAAGTGATATAAAAAGTGAAAACAGCTTTCAGTCAACGTTGCTTTTGACAGAGTGACACAAATGTATTGTATGACTCGGATATTAATCAGCTCTTAATAGGAACAAACCAGGGAGTTTGACTACGTTGGGCCTTGTGCCTGTTACCCTTACCTGCTCTCATTTTGTGGTATTCCCATCTGCTTCTCCTATATTGAAAAAATTACATCCAAAAATCAGCTGGATGAGTCAAAGCTTGGATTGCAGAGGTTTGCTGAACCACATGCTGTGCTTCCTTATGTTTTGTAAGGCCACCGTAGAGGACAGTTAGGAGGGAGCGTTTACAGACTAAGCTAGCAAAATGGTCTGTCCACAAATTTAATTCTTAAAAATTCCAATGTATTTGGAGAAAACTGTCTATGATATACGTCGGAACCAAATATTCCGGTGTTAAAGGGCACAAAGCATCAAACAATGAATTGATAGGATACTTTTCCTTATTGAATCCTCTTGGTTACCCCATTTCTTCTGGAACAAAGCTTCCTAAATAGCGACCTCAAAGCTAACTGGCAGTATGCAGTATTGTCATAGACGGCATAACCTCATATCATGATAGCATACCTGAACTCCTTCCTCCAGCTGTTCTAAACCACAGAGTCTTCTAACCTGCTTTCTGCTGCTGCAGATGTACTGTTTGCATGAAGAACTGCCGTGTGAACTGTATGAAACAGCAGGCTGCTCATGTCTTTGTCATTTTCCCCAAAGAATTGTCCTTTCTGCAGGGCATCAATGACTGAGGTGTTGCAGTTGGCGAGGAGCACGCTGACACTTATCTCTTTATATTCACTGACCAGCCCTTTAAATGTGGCCATGCCTGTTGAGTCAATGAAGGGTATGGCCGAGCAGTCTAAGACTATTGTGTGGAAAGCCAGTTCTCCTTGTACAAGTCCGATTACAACAGAGTTGTTTTTATCCCCATTTGCCTTGCCAAGCTTTGAGGACATCTCTCTGGCCTTCTTCTCTGCCTTTCTCCTCTTAGTCAGCTCCAAAAAAGGTTCAACTCCGACAGCTTTGTAGAGTGATTTTAGGAATGAGTCCTTGTTGGCGTAGTACAGCGGAGCCTGGAAGCGGAATACCTGAACCTGAGGTGGGGCCATAAGGTTCTTGTACTCGTCCAAGTCCTCGTAAAGATCAGTGTCCTTGGCCCGGCCCAGGAGAGAGACCTGGCATCAGACATCAGATTAGATTAGATCATGAGATAACCAAAGGCCAATAATTGTCTTTTCGCATGCTGGAATTATTGTCATTTGTATCAGCTTTCCAAAACCATTATCAGCATTAAGTCTATTCCTCACCTTAGCGTTCTGGGTCATAAAAATGACGCAGATCATGGAAAAAAATACTCCGACCATGAGGCCCAGCTCCACACTGATCAGAGCTGTGGCTGACATGGTGACCAGCCACACAATGCCGTCGTTCCGGCTGGCACGCCACTTAGCTGGGACATCTTTGAACTTCCTCAGTGCCCCACGAAGGCTTACAATGATGATACAGGCAAGAACACACTTCTGGAGGGCGTAGAAGAAAGGCGCAAAGAAGAGAAGGACGAGAAGGACAACCATGGCGCTTATCAGACTGGAAATCTGATGGAGGAGCAGAGAAATGGAGAGAAAAAGAGACAGAGGAAGAAAGAGAGGTTTTGCAGTGAGCATGAACAGATACAATGCGGTATGTTTTGCTCCTCAGGACAGACTTTTGTGATGTTCCTAGAAACCATTCCCTCAGGCAAGGAAAGCAAGAACTTGCCAACTTTAGGGGAGCATTTCAAACAATTTTCAAAAGTAGGAAATTCACCTGTGTCTGGCAACCTGTTGAGTCCTTCACCATGGTTTTTGCCAATGCTGCACTGGTGGTGAAACAGTGGAAGAAGGAGGGGATGATATTACAAAAGCCGATGGCCAGCATCTCCTGGTTGGGACGAACCGTGTAGCCATTTTTCTTAGCAAACATCTCAGACAGCGACACCGTGAAGGCAAAACTGCAGGATACAATGAAAGTCGGTTTACCAATTGAGCCTGTGAATTAGTCTTTGCTCTTACAAGCATGTGAAGAACTGATGTAAACGTCCAACAGAAGTGTAAATGAAATAGCATTTCATCTTCCCCATATAATTACTACTTAGGGAGAGATAGCGTTATTTTTTTGCATCTTTAAAACATATTAATTAAGACTCAATTGATATCTCTTTAAACAGTTTCAAAGCATATTAAAATGCTGATTGGCGAGTGGTTACCATCATTCAAATGAGCCAATATATGTTTTTCAGATAGAGTACAAACTGTCCATAGTTTTATGAATTTTGAAGAGATGCAATCAGATAATGAGGGCATGTATCCCTCCCTGCCAGACGATAATCCGGCTACTAAATTGCATCTTTAACAATCCATATAACAGACACACGTGGATGCCAAGCAAACATGTTGTTACACATTACCTAATGACTGCCAAAGGAATGGCATCCACTATCAACCGTGGCATCAGAGTAAAGCTGGGCACCTGGGGAGGAATGAACCCTGTGGGGATGTGACCGGATACACTGGAGCCATAATTGCTGTTCAGCTCCCCAAAATGGCTGGCCAGGGTAGCTCCTGCCACAACTATCAGCTCAGTCGGCAGAGGGATCTTAAGACGATCCTTGTAGCGCTCCTGGATCTCTTTCCCTGCCACTACAATAACAAAAATACTAGTGTTATTCCATATCAAAGACAGTTAATAATTTGCTTTTTAGAGTGTTGTATATCAGACACATGAGGCCATTTGTAACTTTACCTAATACAGAGATACAGATGGTGCTAGTGATGAGGTCACACAGGTTGACCTTATGAATGTTGGCGAAGATGTTGAACCAGGTGACGACAACTGTGCCGTAGCCCTGGTGACGGGGGATCTTTAGTCCCAACAGGTATTTAGCCTGCACGGTGAGGATGGTGAATGAGGCTCCCGTGGCAAAACCATCAAGCATTGGAGCCGAAAGGTATACAGAGACGAAGCCTAGCCGAAAGACGGCCATCACGACCTGGTGAGGAGATTTTAGGAGGTGGAGCGGGGAGAGGAAGACGTACAAAACAAGAGGGATGGGAGATGGGTGGGAATGAAAACGTGAGTCACTTATCAAATGAAATATCAAGTATGATATAGGTACAGCCTCAAAGACTCTTTGGTTTACATTTTTACATTATTGCCCATTTATGATGTTGTCATCGTGCCACTATTACTATCATCCCCATCGCCCTGCCACAGAAACTGCTTGCAGAACTTCACTATAACTAGATAATAATAAAATGAGGGCCTAAAAGCATTTTCCAAAGCGCTACAAAAAAATGCACCTGCATATATTACCTGATAGACGCCGACCAGGAAGGTGAGGGCAGCAGCGATGCTGATGGAGTAACACTCCTTCCCACACTGCAGACCCATTAGCTCCACAGTGTGAAGTTTACCAGCGGTGAGGTTAGTGCCCAGTGTGGCATTAAACACATCAGGGCCAGATGCTGTGGAGTCCTCATTGAGGTCAAAACCTGCCAGGAACATCTCCTTATACACCACCTGCATAAGTAGAAGTCTTGATTAATCTATTAAGTAAAACACAAGAAATACAACTGTAAAAGACTGTGATCCATTGCAGTACCTGTCCAACCATGAGGCTCATGAGGCTGAAGATCCCCACAGAGACATGTCTGGACGTCCCCATGAGGAAGTAGATGAGGTTGGCGTAAAATGAGGTGTATAAACCATAGATGGGACCCACTCCTGCCAGCAGGCAGTAGGCGATGGCCTGCGGTACCAAGATGATACCGATGATCACCCCGGACATCAAATCGCCCCAGACGTACTCGCGGAGCTTGTATTTAGGCAGCCAGCGCACAACGGGGAAGAACCCGGTCAGGGTGGATCGGACTCTGGGCACCGAGCAGGTCACACCCTGCTTCAGCTTGGATTTGAGCACTGAAACCATGGGCTGTCGCTGGCGAGCCCGACGTTCCAGGACAGGTGGCGTGACCTTGGTGACCTCCATGTTCTTAGGGAGGAAGAGGAGGCAGCAAGGTGAGAGGAAGAGGGAGGGGAGGTGGATAATGTGGTCAGCTGTGCTCCTGTAAGATCATCATCAGAGAAAAAGGAGGCGGGGAGAGAGAGGTACAGGACAAAGACAGGGAAATGGAAACAGTGAATATCACTAGAGATGACTTCAGTCCAGAAATAAAATATGATATCTTCCTGTTAGGTCACTTTCACACTAAGCATGTTTGCTGTGGTATCTTTGAATTCTGGGGCATTTACTCATTCACCTGGGGGCTATTTCTCTTTTTTTGGGTTGGTACATCATCCTTTAAACTTCTCAATCAGCCCTTTGAATGTTCAGTCAGGATTATGAATTCAGTGTTTTACGGTGGTTGACTTTCTTATTTCCAAAACAACTCAGTTTGCAAATTAATAGTAAACCCAAGACAATTGTCCTGTTAAACTTCAATGAATAGTTGTGCAACAGTACAGGCCATACAGCATCTTTTATGGTAAAGGTGATGGACTAACATTTTGTCCGTTGTTAATGAGCTCCTTTTTCCAGAACACAGGTTAATCAGTGACTAAGACGTATAGTTGTGAGCATGTGATAGTACCGTAGGCATCTGTAAATTATTATAAACATACAGTGTTGGGTTATTTTGTCCACTGTAGTCCAACTCTTTGCCAGTCCTTCACCTGAACTGCATCTATGTTTTGACACTAACTATTCACTACACTGATAGGTCTGCTAGTGCTGCAGCCCTTGTTGGTTATCTGTACATGCTCTGATGTGTTGCAGTCTGATTGAGGCTAAGTGAGGACAGGGCCGTTATAAAAGTATGCCAAAGCAATAGGTGAGCTAAGAAAATGTCTTTATATGGACTGCGAGAAAACCGTAAAATCGATCTTGGAGCTGCTTATGGGAAATAGAAAAGTCTCTAGATATGGACATGTTTAGCCCTGTTAGCTAAATAGCTCGATGGCGATTTGACGGATTGCCATCAAACTTCGGACAGAGCAGAGTGAAATAGGTTTCTTTGACTTTGCTTTGTGTGTGTGTGTGTGTTGTTGGAGGAACTCAGCCCCGACAGAGAAAGCGAGGAGATGCTCGCTTCAGCGTGATTAAACATTACACCAAATCATTCAAAAGTACCAATAAAAATGCAACTCTCAGAGAAACCTTCAAATGTCAAAAGTTTTTGATTGTAAATTATAGCATGATATTTTCTTTGGTGCTCCTGCAGATCTTGCTCTCGAATGTGATATTTTTATAATTTACATAATCAATCCTCGAGTGGTAAAAAATGGTTAAATTTAGCACCAAATCATTGTAATAAATGGTATCAACAACTTACGAGACCATATACTTCCATCATCATGTTCTAAGCCCTTATACACTTTCAAAATACATTTCAATTCAATTACTTTATTAATATTTATTTCTGATTTATGAATAGAAGAACTTGTGCTTCATGTCAAATGAATCTTTAAGTTCTTAGCTTTCAGATGATGTATACCACTTCTATGTGGCACATGCTGTTGACCTTTTATCTACCCCTGAACATCCCCCGCCCTCACCCTTTCCCCGACAGAAAAAGGGTCAGAATGATCAGGGGTTAAAACTATACTTTGTTTGAGTCAGCGTCACATGATGGTCTAAATTCAATTTCAGTGTGTTTCCACGGAAAATCATACCATGAAACTGGTTCAATTGTTTTTAGAAACCATAACTGATCAGATGAAAGCCACAAAAGACATTCATGACACTCATGAAGGAAACTAGTGATCGACGGGTTGCAGAAAGCCTTTCTCACAAGGTTAGCATGTTTTCAGAAGCAGCTGCGTCTCAGCGGAGAGATTACCATGCCACATAAACCATTAAACACTTTAAATGACGTGTTATTATCAGCCTCTGCCATCACAACACCGGTACGTGCTGTGATTTAGACTTCCTGTAGCAGCGCCAGCAGCTGTCACGGACCGATATGACAGGGGGATGAAGAATAGAGGAATGAGTTAGATTTGTCGTTTGCTTTTTTCTGTCTTTTCTTTTTTTCTTTTTCTTTTCTACTCGCTTTGCAAACTCGCTTTGCAATAATTGCTCACTTTGCAACAAACCAATACAGAGGCCAGTCTGTGTTCATATGCGTCGTATAAATCCAACTTGACCTTTTTAACAGATAAAAGACACGGGAGATAAATAATGAGCCTGCTACAATTTCCCCAAAAAAGAGACCAAGAACTACTTCACATTTGTGCTCAACACTGCTGCCATCAAAATGTCCACCTAAACAAGGTTTTCTTTCAAGAAACACACCTGATTGACTGCTGAGCATGGCAGGAGTCACGCTGAGGACCTTTTGGAACCAAATAATAAGATTTACTTCAGCGTCAAGCCTGAACAGTGCTGGAAACATTTGATCAAAGCGGTTTCTGTAAACCGTTTCCAATCACTGTTGATCATGTGATAAAGGAATCACCACTTCATGCTCAGAATTTACCATAGACTGTGTAGCTTCCTTTCATTGCCTTTCATGTAAAGTTGAAGTCTTTTTTATCTAGTCATGTTACAAGTCTACAGGGGTGAAAATAACTGGCTTCTCAGCTTAAACAGCTCCGTGTTACTGAAAACTCAGAGAGGACTCCTTATTCACCAATTTAAATCAATCAAGTTATATAAGGTCTTCAATATCAACTTTTTTTAATCCACTGCAGTTGACTACAACTGAAATATAATGAATGGTTATGTATTAGGCATGTGCAGATATATAAAAACATTAAAGTATGATTGTGGTGACCGAAAGTATAAAGATATCCTAATTCTTTGACAAATATCATGACTTTTAAAAACATTATACGTCAGTCAGACCCTGAGTTGCTGAGTCTTCGAACGTGACGTAACCGTGACAGCTGGTAGTTCAATTTGCACAAGAATTTAGCAAGAGCCCAATACTCTTCAGACTTCCAAATTTGCTTTGTGGCTGATTGTTGATTTGCAGAACAGGTGCTTTTAAAAAGATGCAAATCATTCTCCAACCCTTAATGTTTAACTGAACTTGCAAAGCCAACAGTCGACAGGTTTTAACATCATTAAAGACACAGTGACTACTACTAAAATGACATTCCCACGTGCTTGACTTTAATAAACTAGATATAAGAGGACTCATGTGGAAAATGACTCATGAAAAAAAAAAAAGAAACTGGCTAGTTTCAAGGCTAAAGAAAGGACCAACCAACAACTCCTCAATTCAAGTAATGGTTTCTAAAATCAGGGAACTTATCAGCAGAAAACTCTCTGAAAATCAAGTCAAACCGAAATGGGAAATCCTCCTGATTGGAGCATTAGAGCAGAACTGTAGGACGTCATGTTCAAAAGTAGTTACTCCAACAATTAACGACTGTAGACATTCTTAAATTACCTATGAGATAACGTGTGTGCCGCAGACATCTTATCACTTGCAGATGATCAAAACTGTGCTCCCCACAGCACCTTTTTCTACTCCACAGCTCCAGTCGTATTATCACTACTAAAAACAACTTTGAAAAGCATCAGTGGTTCTTTCTTGGACACACAGTTACAGTCATTCATGTGTGACAACACTCACCTGCAGAGTCACTGGCACAGGGTCAAACAGGACCACGGGTCTCTGAGGTATCTGGTTTAAATCAGCTCTGTCGGCTGCCCTTAACTTCTTCTCATTCTCTTCCACTCTTTATACGTCTCTCTCTCTCGCTTTCTCTCTGATTGTATCCGAGCAGCCGGACAACAGGAAACGAGAGTTTGATCTCTGCTGGATAAATAGTGAGATAAGAGCAGCCCTTTGCTCACCCTCAACCACCCTATTGGCTCGGTCAACAAGAGTGGGTGGGGCTTGTCAAAATGTGCACCAACTAAAAAGCATTTGTGTGTGTGTGTATGTGTATGTCTGTGTAGAGGTGGCAATTCTGGGCAAGAGGTTGAATCCAGTCAATATTTTACTGAATTACAGAGTATATCTGCCCTGCAGGAGGCCAGGGCCAGCAATCACCTATATGCAAAAGTGAGCACAGACCCGTATGTCAGCATGTCATGCTGTTTACATACATCCTAGAGTGGACTACATAGCAAACAGAAGATAAACCCCTGTTATCTGTGTGAACGGCACCAGAAACAACCTATATATATATACACGTCTATAAGCAAATACACTCAGATTAGATCAGTGTTGTGTGGGAAAGGGGAACTAATAAATTGTACCATGCCAGGTTGAATCAAAACCAACAAACTGTATTGTAATGCTACTGATCTACATTTACTGTGTATATTAAGTGTTTCTTTTTTATCATATACATTTGTAAAAATGGAATCTGAGCTAATAATCAGAGGCATAAGACATGCACCTAGGAAAATCTGACCTGCTAATTTAAGAAAAGGAATCCTATGTTGATCAAACTTATCAAAACTCCCCCATGTGATCATTTTAAAACCAGAGCAAAAGTGAACCCACTGCTCCTTTTGTCATTCAGCTAAATAATTAAAACAATACTCATTTTTAAACCCTTCTTTTTCAAGTTGTTGGGGAAATACATTCCGTCTCTTTCTACCAGTTCTAATGCCAAATCACAGCATTTCTTTTTCTCCTCTACATTTATTTGACAGCTTTAATCCCTTTGCCGACTGAGATTATTAATAGAGAAACATTATAAATCAACTAATGACTGATGATGCATTATTATAGGTACCCAGCAGTAGGCCTATATAAAGTCTTAGCTTCACTTTTACCAGCTGCAACATTATTATAGTATTTTTTACATTGTAGTGTATTGCTATTTTTACTAAGGTAAAATATCTGAATATGTGTTGAGCCCCAGTTGGTTTTTCTTCCTGTAGTTTCTTGGCGTGTTAGCTTTTCTAGAATGTGTATTATGATAAATCAAACCGTTTTGTACTAGTATACATTGACATTCATGTATACTAGCTTCAGAGACTTAACTTCAACTGCATTGTAATACTGGCATTGTTATGTAATGTTGTCATTAATGAGAAACAAGACCCAGAGATTAAGAGAGAGCTTCTGATTTTCTGTATAATCATCACTAAAATTCACTAACTGAGACAAGTGGGTCTGTGTGTGTTTGTAGACGTGTGTGGGTGTGTCCCTGTGTGCATTACATGCTGGACTGAATGGCATCGTTGTCAGTGTGGAAACATTGCAGTTTACTTCTTTGAATACAGTCGGTCACAGTTTAGATTGGACTCACATATGTAACACCAAAGAAATATCAAGGGAGAGGCCTTCTTTCTGGTATGTGTGTGTGTCTGTGTGGTTAACATGACATAATCCATGTACAGTAAGACTGGAATATCACTTCCGACGGACAAAAAGCAGACAAAGCCGAACAATCGGAACATGTGAGGAGTTTTCCGCCTGTCTTGTCGCCTTAGTTGACCCCTCTCCCTTCAGTCTGAGAGGATTACTGCACTGTTCCTTTAAATCCACTGGCAGCATCGTCTGTCTGCCCCACCGTCTACAAACGGCATCCTCTGTCCAGCATGAATTTTTGGACACCGTTTGTCTGTTGTCCTTGTAATTGACAAGTCAAACGAGGAAGGACTCACCCAAAGAGGACCAGAGGAGTGAACAGTAGGCAGCATCAGCCATACCTCCCTGACTGGTGCCTCTGCATCCACCATCAGTCTGTCAATTTGTCCCCTCTGCTGCTCACTGACTGCCTCTGTCTTCTTCCTGCTTCCTGCTGCAAAGCATGATGGGAGCACCCCCCTCGTCTCGTTCCTGTCTGCGGATTGGAGCCGAGCAAAGAGGGAGGGGAGAGAGGAGGGGCTGTTGCCAGTGGATGACGGTTACCATGGTGACTAAGCTTCTACTGATGTGCATGTGTCCATGTTTGCATGTGGGTATTTGGACTGCAGCTGCCTTAGTTAGTGATTACTGTTTTTTTGTTTTTTTTTTAAAGAAACAATTACCACTTTTCTATGTTTATGCACCTTATCAAGAGCATCATTATCATCCAAAGACTGTTAGAAACACATCACCCATGAGCCACACATGATTACCATCGGCCCTGTAGTTGTTTTGAGTCACTAACACTGTCCTGCTGCTCATTAAAACACCACAGAGAGCCAATGATTTTCAGATTTCAGATGGAGTTAAGACCTGGTTGATTCTAATCACAATAATGTCTTTCAGCAACTTTCTACTCACCCACATCTTATTTTTTGTCACTATGAACACGGACGATACGACAGATGCTCCCTGTCGGTAATGTATGAACCTGTGAGTTTCCCTCAAAACTAGTGAAAAACTAATTCTACAATACTACTTATATATATATATATATATGTGTGTGGTTTTATGATTAAGTACTTAAAGCTGGAATATTTTTATATTGACAGTGACATTGACAAACCAACAGATAAATATCACTCCATTTCTCCTCATATGAAAGATTATCTGAAGTGTTTCATTGTCTTTCACCTCTTTATTTTTGTTTTCTGGCACACATTTTTGCATTTTTGCTTCATTCTTATCAGCGCTATCTGCTCAGCCTCGAACTCAGACAAAGTTAGTGTCTAGCTGGTGAACAAAGTGGAGCATTTGGCAGCTAAAGAGCCATACTTTCACCCAGGTGACTTACTGTCACATAACTTCCATACTTAAGTAATGCCACTTCTGCATTTATTGTAACCCAAATGTTGACTTATTTGGGTCATTACTACTTAAGTAACGCCAATTCCGTAGTTATTTCAAACCAAGTGCTGACTTCCATACTTAAGTATCATCTCTTCTGTACTGATTTCAACCAATCTTTTCCAGAACCCAACCAAGCAGTTTGTTGCCTATAAACACCGCGGGGGCTTTCACAGGCGTACTAGTGTTGCTGGACAGTCGTTGGAAAATGCACAAAAAATAATAATTTTGTAGCAGGATGAATCATTAAAGAAAAACAACCTGTAAAAAGATAAACTTGTCAGACCTTCTCCAAACACAGAGACAATGTTTACCTTCACTTTCTGATAACCCCGTGACATGCCACCTCTTAACCTTCTCTTCTCCCCCAGCATTTCCCAAGGGTTACAAGAGTCCTACAGCAGAACCGTGAAGAGTTTATTCATTTTACTTATTATTAACCCCTTGAATTGTCTGTGAGGAACGTGAATGTTTAAGGAAGATAAGCTGTAACGCAGGAAAGGTCACGCACACAAAATGCCATGCTGTCAAGTCGTTGCTTACTTAAATCATCTCTAAGAAAGTTAAAGGCCTGGTATCAGTGTTTGAGTGAGGTTAGGTATAAAGAGAGGCATCCTGTTGACTCAGCGGAATAAATCAGTGAGGTGAAACGTTTCTCACTCTGAAACTCACAGGTTCTTCAAATTGCCCTCGTCACCTTTCTCAGAACATCACACGTTTGGTGCCTTGGACCAACTTTGAATTTTGCGTTGGCGGTGACTATGGAAAAAGTTAGCATTAATGTCCATGCAGCCATACTCCTGTGCAGTGCTCCAGGAAGTTGCAGTGCAGTAAACATCTTCCATGAGTAATCATTGTTTTAGTTAAAATGTTACCAGCACCATGAAAAAATGCGAACGTTTGCTATTTGCTAATCAACCGGATAAACAACGTAACAATTTACAAGGTTATTTGCTTTCACACACAAAAATAAGCTAAATCAAACTGCTGCCTCTGATTCAACCCTCTTACTGTTTGATGTTTTTTTGGCTAAATCATACTGTAAATATGTTTGACAGCTATTCGGCAATGAACAGTCACTGACAGCTTGAATAAAGGGTGCAAGAAAAGAACACCTGAATCATTAACTTAAACACCAAACAAAAATGTCAGAAACTTTCTTTCCTTCTTTCTTTCCATTTTAACAAACACCTTTAGAAGTTCCTCCTTCTACTCAATTGACTTGATTGCTAATTGATTGCACCTGTGGCAGGTATATTTAAGTGACCTGAACCCCCCAGAAGATGTAAGCGCAGATGAACCGTTTGAGGACTGAAATGTTTGCCATTGATATGCGTAAATGAGTGCACACAATAATTAGTTTGTTTTTTTGGCAATTTGCAATGCTGAAGGCTGTTGTTTTTGTACATTTTTTTAACTGAAAATGATTCAAGTGTGGAGTTTGAAATCAGCAATAAAACCTGCAGAGGTTGTCAAATAATGCTACAATAACAGCAAAAGAAATAAGTGACAGTTTAGGTTTTGTACTAGCTGAATGTGTTGCACAACTCTAACATTTCCATGGTTGTTTAATAGGCCTTTTTTTAAAACAGAAGATACGTCTTGTCATGGTAGGAAAAGCACAGGTGTCACTAATGACGTTAACGATGGCTCTGTTCAGTTCAAGTGTCCCGGTAAGTCACGACAGAGTGACGGTGCACAGTACCAGGACCCTGAAACCAAAACAGCTACATTTAATTCAATAGTTTTATTTATTTTATACTGTGACATATCAAACTGTTTATGGTGTCCACAATATAAAGTCACAGTCAACCTGAACAAAGAAATAATATTTTAGTTGCTTGTGTTGTAGCTACATCTAGTGGCAGTGTGGAGATAAGGTGGTAGGGTGTTAACATTACAGCAACTGATGCTGCTTTCTTTCTCCCTGCAGTCTGATAACTGAACACGCTCAATGTGCAGTTCTGTGTGCCAATTCACACACTCTTCATGCAGGATGGTAGCAGTATTTGCAAGCAGGTTGTGGGTCTCAGTGCTCATTCCACATGGCTTATTGTGTTGTCGTAGTTGTGTCTAGCTGCATACCTGGTGCTATTTATTTGTCTCAAACGAGGCTAATGACCAGGCTCAGGGCCACCCGTCTGGTAGGAGAGTCAGTCCTATAAGGTTCCCATAGAGAAGCTCGGGGGAGGTGGGGAGGTGTTCATTCAACAAACCAAATCCTTGAAGTCTTTTAATTCCTATACTTCCTCTAAAGCAGGGATTCCCAAAGTGTGGTGAAAATGTAATGGTGTAATAATTAATATTAAATATAATTTTCACAAAATAAAGACATGAATTATAAAAATTCCCTTTGTAAGATTTAAATTTAAAATTAAAAACGTACAATTTAATAAATAAATGCACTTCAGCTCCTGCCGCCAAATCGGGAACACATAGGGCTAAACCTTAGTTGTTTCCTGTGAAGATGGAAGTTTATTTTGAAAAGACAATATGCAAACGAAAACAGACTCATGTTGCCGGACTTTTGCAGGAAAAATGCACGAAAAGTGAGGAGTAATTTTTCGTAAGATATCAATAAAACGGGGATGAATTTATATCATTGTATAAAGAGAGTGACATGAGAAGATCAATCTCATGTCTGTAAGTTAAATCAGCTATTTAAATCAGCTATAATCACTATTTTAAAGTGATTAGTGACTCGTCTAAAACATTTAAAAAAGTAACAACTTCAATAGATCTAATTAGGATGCCTCCTGGACCCCTCCCACTGGAGGTTTTCCAGGCACGTCCAACTGGGAAGAGACCCCGGGGAAGACCCAGAACACGCTGGAGGGATTACATCTCCCAGCTGGCCTGGGAACGCCTCGGGATCCCCCAGAATGAGCTGGAACATGTTGCCGGTGAGAGGGAAGTCTGGGTCAGCCTGCTTGGCCTGTCTGAAGCCCTCTTATTTACGTCGCCACCTGAACACCAAGCATGCCAGTGCAAATCAAAAGCCCCTTACATTTTTTATATCGAAATTAGAGGAGTTACAAAACAGCCCAAAACAACTGCAGTCTCATTCTATGTATGGTTAATTGTAAATTAAATGTGATGCAATCTGCCTCTGAGCCCGTGCGTGTGTCCTCGCCATCCTTATTGCTCTTTCAAAGTGACGCCTTGTGTAACTGGAATTTATTGAAACTTTGTTGCAGTGTTTCAGGGCGTTTTAACACCTTCAGTTCGTTCGTTTTGTTCTGATTCAGGGATTAATATGATACAATGTTGCAGTTGCCCCTTTGTTCGGTTTGTGTTCACACTGCAACATTTAACAGCGGACTAAATATTGTAAACAAACGCCACGCGCGAGCAAACTGTTGTCTCATTGGTCCGATTTCTATGCGGCTATAAATAGGCTCTGTTGCTTCTTCTTTTTTTTAAGGTGTGGGGGATTGGGGGTGCGTGAACCCGGTCGGGATGTAGAAGGGGGTGCGTGGCCTAAAAAGTTTGGGAACCGCTGCTCTAAAGCATAAATCTCACCTTGGTGTCACTCGTCAAAACGAGTGTGGAATAGGCTCACTGTTGCTCCTTGTGGCCACCCACTACAACTGCAGTTCTCACCTTTTGTCAAGTACCAGTGTTTTTGGTCCTCTGGCCTCAAAGGGGAGTAATGAGCCCATTACGGCTTGGTATGCCATAATGGGGTGAAAAAGATACTGCACTAGAAAGTTGGACAAGTGACACAAAGGTCATATTTATGCCTTATCAACACGGTATTTTGGGATGTTACAAGAGAAAAGACATGAAGGATAAGGGCTAACTGGTTCGTTTGGTAAAAGTATGTGTGGTTAACTCCCCCATGCACGTCCAGCAATGAGCAGCTCACAGACGCTTCCCTGAGCTTTTCTATGGGAACCATCCTGAACCGGGCTCAGCTCCGGCTTCCTGCTTTGATGTTGAGGCTGACCTCTTACCTCCACATGGGAAGAGATAAGTGATAAATCCCCAGGAAGATTTTTAAACCCTATCGCACTTTCAGTCCTTGAGCAAATCATTTTTTCAGTGGACATATCTGTTAGAAAAGCAGATTAGGCTGGATTCACACAGGAACAAAAACTAACACGACTAATTTCTAGCAGCCCATAGAAGGATAAAATACGGGATTGGTGTCTCATGGGGTTAAAGCATATTTTTGCGTTCCGTTGCGTACTTCTGAAAAATCTTGGAGCGCAAGATGCTTTTAGAAAACCCAGGTCCAGGTCTGGCACTGCTGTGCTATGAGGCAAAGCCTTGAGAGCCTCATGCTTCAGACAGTAAGTAAGCCCAGAGAGATTGTGTTGGAGGCAGTGAGTTTTGAGAGGGCTCACAGAATAATGAATTCCTCCTCTGGATTTTCCCTGATTGGTTAATGGCCAGCAGACTGGGGGGTCTGCACCAATCAACCCATGCAAATCAGTGTGAAGATTGTTTTTCAGCGGTAGAGGGAATGATTGGGGATAATCTTGTTTGCTGTTACCAAATAGGCTTCCTGACGAGGGGCTTTGTAATTGCCGCCTGCCGCCGCCAACAGCTATAAAGGATTGGTAAAAAATGTGTTTTAGGCCCATACAGGATAATATTAGTCTGTGCTTGATGTTCATGTTGTCTTACTGAAGACAGAGCTCACGATACGATGCGTAAATCATCAACAGAAAGGCGTGCGAAGACTAAAATAGTCAAGTCCAGCTGCCTAAAATGGGGAAAAAAATGCATTTTCTTATATCAGTTGGCAAGATGTGAGTATTTTCACCATATTTGACTGGTGCTGGGTAGTGGTTCTTAAAATAGAGATTGGGGCCTTACAGGTGGTGGCCAAAATATTTTGGGGTTCATGATACATAAGTAGTTTTCTCTGTACAAATGTATTAACTTTGTATTTGTATTAAGTAATGTTTTTGTTGTGTAACTTGGGCGAGTACAAAGTCATGTACTCAGTTGGTTATTGTCTGGTTGTAGTTGGCATGGAGATGGTTTAAAGTTTAAACTAATCTTCATCCTCCGATGAAGGCTACAAGATGTAGCTGAAAGCTCTGCTAAAGGTAGTCAGTGGACCTTGTGATTACAATTTTTGGGAGAACTGTCCCTTCAAAATAAAAAGAAACCACAAAGTTGTGCGAATCAGTGGGATGAAGTGACTTTGGATCCTTTTTTACATGCAAACTAATGTTCAACTATTATTCTGAATATGACAATAATATCCAAATTCTACATGGATTATATGTAAACTGCATATTCATATATTCTGAATTAGGCTTTATTCTGAATTGAGCATTTTCCTCTGTGCTTTGGACACAAAACAACTAGCCTTTTGCAGAGATGCATGCCCGAAAGAAAAGCCCACATTTCTGGTCAGGAAGGAGAAACACTTTTAAAATTACTAACTTCTTTTAAAAATTCTGAAAGACTTTAACAATTTTTTGGCTTTTTTTTGCAAAGCCTACCTTTTTACCACCGCCGGTTACGTTAATCAGAGTACAGTGTATGCACGGCTGCATGTAAACGGGAATATTAGTGGAATTTTCATTTCAACATGAGCCAGCTTAGTAGGAATATTGTCTTTTTCGTAATAAGGGGAAAAATATATATATTTTGTGCATGTAAACATGTCAACGTTTTGGTGTTCAGGAACATGACTCGGAATGAAGAATAGGGTTGCTCCGTAACTACTGGATGCATAAAGAAGCAACTGTTTGCTAACACGTTCGCCATACAGATACGTATGGTTTAATCAGCCGCAACTACACTACTCTATCAACTCTTAATATGACAGCACAATCAAGATCTGGAGAAATGTGCATGGCTTCAAAGACTTGCCACCTTTGATAGAGCTGATATTAATCAATTTGCACCAGATTGTTGTCGAATTGTCTGTTTATTCATCATCTCCATCACACACAATAACAATGAAATACAGGGCACAGCGGACTAGTAAAAGTTGTCACATTGTAACAAGACATTCATTCAGCTCGTCACCTTTGAAGCTGGACTTTGAGGTTGTGCATTGAAAATAAAAAGGAAAGATGATGAGTTAACCGTTGTTTTCTGAGGCAGGGATGCAGAGAGAAATGTAAATGCGATGACAAAGTGTGGGCGGCTGAGTTGGCATCACACCTCTGTGTGTCCATCTCCTGATCATGTTGTGACAGACAGGGAGGGAGAGAGAGTTTAGATAAACTGAGCATCAAACATTGGAGAGTTAAATCAGGGTTAGAGGCATTTTTGAAGCGAGACAACTTACAGACGCAGACAAGTCTCTAATTCTTCATCTGAGTGATATTCACCCTGACCTGAATGCTCTATCATGTCTCGTGAGGAAAATATTCACATTGCTTCCTGAAATGTTGCAAATTCTCATTTTCAAGTTCACTGTGGAGAGAACAACAGATCGTGATTGTGCCGAACAACATGACATAAACTTTCAATTTATTTGAAACTTGTTCTCACTTTTTTAAAGACTGTGTGTGAAATGAGTGCTTCCTAAAATGCTCATAATGTGCCACAAAAACCTTTGAGTTTAGTCAAATGATTATGATCATTTCATGTACACCATTCAGTTTCCTCCTAAAAAACTACAGTGCTTACTTTTTTAGGAAATGAATCAGCCTTTTCTGAAAATGTTTATTTTGTGGGCCAGTCAGTAGAACCCCACTGACAAATTATAAAGAAGTATACAAGAAAAGCTTTACCTATTTAAAAATAGGAAAAGGCCCAAATATCAAAATTGTAAAATAGATTATTACTTACTTTAATTATAAATATTGAATGTTATTGAGATACTTGATTTGAGGATCACAAGTATCCATCTTCAGAATCATTCCTTCTCTTCGGCCTTCCATCAGCTATAGGCTTATGGTTCATATCGAGCCCAACAAGGGAAAGAAACATTCGGTGCGTTAACATACTATATATTTGGTGGACAGGCCACATGTAACATCAGTGAAATCTGAAATACTTCTTCCTGTTTCAAGGTGTCTTCTGCATATAATGCACGGTACACATTATCTGCATTTATATACATTTCATGATGATTCTTACCATACTTTTTGAGATACATGTATGGCAGTATATCTGTTTGTGTGCTGAATATGTTCTTTCAGTGCTTTTAAAGCATTCTTATTCATTTACAAAACATTAAAGAGTGAATTCCTACTCATGTCTCTTGCAGTAAACGCTTTGTCCCTTGCTGCGGTGATGTAGAGCTGCACTACCAACACAACATCACTGTTGGTTGTGGAACGACATGTGACACAATTTGAAACTTTCAGCCAGTGGTAAGTGCAACGACATTTGATGTGTCATGAAAGGTTTAGGCAAGTGTTTCATCACAATGGTCAATGATAGAAGTTTTATATGATGCTGTATTTCATCACAAACTGCAAGACTGTGAAGTCGGTCAGTCCTGTTTTTCACATCCTGGGCCTTTGGTGTTTTGTTTACACCTATTTCAAAATAGAATATGAAATGAAAGATAAAAAAAACACGTCTACTTTTCACATTACATTCAGCAGTTTCAGAGTGCTTTCAATGCTGGTAAAGGACAAGAATACAAACTGCTCGACAATAAACTGAACTTTAAATCTAATAAGACCTGGAGTCACCTGCGTGACCTCTGTTATAACTATGGAGGGATGCCATAATAGAGGTTTAAAAGCAGAAGAGGCCTCTCTAGCTTCACTTATCGTTTTAGCCAGAGTTTGGCATGTAGTCTGCTGTGGTGTCTGAGATCTGTAGTGCCGGACCTCTGACTTCATCTTCACATCCTGTGATCCTGATGTCCGACGGAAAAGAACAGTTCTCCGGGTTTTAGAATGAGAACCTGGAAAAATATTGGCAATGTTTCAGTCCATGGACGCAAGTACAACTAGTGCTTTGGTGTGCACCAATATGGTTCCATTTTATGTTGTATCTCATTTTGAGCCACCAAGAGTCAGATCTGACTGTCTGTACTCGTCTGATGGCCTGCAATAGTGCCCTCTGACCCTGGACAGCATCAACATACATGTAATCATCCAAGTAGTCATCCAATGAGGATTCTGGATCATACAGTGAATATCCAGGTGAGATAATCCCAGTTTGAGTCTCAGGTCAGTTCACAGTAGACTGTTGAGATTACACAGGCCAAGACTTCTTCGTCTCTGAGCGGACTTAAAGGTCCCAAACATCAGCTGATGCCGTCAGAGCTCTGTCAAGACGTCCTCAAAGCGCTCCAAGAGAGTCCTGGGACTCCTGCTCGTTGGCCAGCATCGTGCGCCCGTTGTCGCTGTAGCTCCGATTTGGCAGGAATGACAATCTGAAAAAGAGAGACAGAGAGTTCTTCAGTAAACTTTACACTACATCACCCTTCCCGGCTCCCGATTACGTGGATTAATCTACACACAAATTATTTACGTGTGTTAGGGTTTCCTGCTGACTTTGAGCTGTAATGTCTCTGATGCCAAGAAATCCATCATCACAAGGAGTGGCACAATGAGAATGAAACTAATAAAATAAAGACTAATACAACAAAAGACAGTCAAAATGTCTGTTTCAAATAATCAAATAAAAAAGGTCTGATTGGTATTGTAAGAAAAGGTTAAGAGGAAAAGTTAAGGTCAAGGCAGCGTTGACTCATAACTCTGCTGGCAGAAATAAGCAGAGCAGAGCTTCTGCAGTAGAGTCAGTGGGAATAGAAGAGGAAGGAGGCATGTGAACGGAGTTAAGAGCGACTGGGAACTACTGTCGACATTCTTCTCAAAGTAGGCAGCAGAGTCCTCCGCCAAGAGGGAGGAAGAGGAGGGAGACAGGAAAAAATAGTTTAGTTTACAATGGCAAAATGACATTTTAAATAAAAAATGTTTTAAACATAGCAAAAGGGAAAATATTGTGTGGTTCTGTGTGTGTTCGTTGGTCTGTTGACTGAGTTCAAGACAAACAGAAGCAGAAAAGCACTTAAAATCAAAATTGATATTTGTCCATGATGTTCTGGTGGTTTTACAGCCTTATGGAAACCCTAAACTAGCCCGAAGTGGCAAAAGTCCTTTACTGTGGAGGACTTAAGTAATCTGTCCCTCTGTGTGAAGATCACCTCATGATCATGGGAAAACTAGAAAACACACGCACGCACACACACACACACCCACAAGCAAACACACACCTGAATGGAAGTTCGGGTGGATTCCTTCTGCTAAGTCCCAGTAAATAGCTATAGCTGTTATCCGACCATTCACTACAGTGACCACACACACTCACACTAATGCACACACTCAGTCCCATGTGGAGGCATGTCCAGGGTGAGGAGGCGAAAAGGGGTGGGGGTATAAACAGAAAATGTTCTGTAACTTTTACTCCTCTGTTTTCTGGACTGCGAGTGTGTTTACAGTCTAAACACACTCTGTCTGTCTCCCTGTCACACAGTCGTGGATGAGACTGCTAACAGCCCCCAGGGGAAAGATCAGCATCAGACAATACCGAGGACGAAATTCAGGGAAACAGTCATCCGGATTACAAATAATCATAGAATTAGAGTCTGAGGTCAAAAACCTCCCCGCCCCGTACATTGCATTGGCAAATATGTTGTGGAGGAAATGTAACTGCAGCAACATTTTGCTCCAATGGAGGAAGTGTTGCCTGGGTGGATAGTTGGGTGTAAAAAGCACAAGACTATGTCATCAGAAACCGTGGTTGGCGCCCTGCATCCCTGGTGTGGTTTGGATTCGGAAACTTTAGGTCAGAAAAAAAAAGATCTGTAGTGAGAAGGTCAACATGATTCAAGATTCAAGTTGGAATAAACTGACTTTAAATATTGAACCAAGACCAAAAATCTTTCCTTGACCTTTACCGAGTGGTTACTGAGTTGCCAGGAGTGAATCTTTTAGGGAAAACGAGTGGAAGACACTAAATACGAACATTTTACAGATGCGCTCAATAAAAAATATTTTGTTCTTGTCTTCAAAAACAAAGTAACCCATTCTAATTAGTTGTATATGATTGTACTTTTTAGGAGTTTTAGAAGGGTTGAAAACTCACATTGTTGAAGTAACTCTGCAAAGGAATAAAGATATCTGTATAATTATTTGACACAATAAAAAAAAGCTCATTCTCTGATATCTAGACTGATTGACAGTTTGAAGTTTAAACTCTATTTTCACTTTTGTTTTACGTGTTTGATCAAGTAACATGAACCTGGATATGTCCATGTCCTGGTTTTCAGAAACACAAAGCTGCTACGGCAATATATTAATCATCTATTCATTGCGTCATTTAACAAGGACAAAGCACATCAACAAACATGATTGAAAATGGGCCCAGAGTTATCCTAAAGGCTGTTTTTCATCTGTGGACAGATGTTACGTATAGGCACCCAAAGAAATAATGCAGAATTTGCTTAAATAAGTATCCTTCAATAAGTGTCCTCTAGCGGTGTGATGCAGAGCTACTCTCAACTTCCCTCTCTTACTTCCCAAAAATATCTGGATGGGATTGCACCAGAAGTTGTTGTAAGCTCTCTTGGCCCATTAGCATGCAGTTTTGAGACGGTCCTTAACTTTAGCTCATCGGTTTTCTGTCTGCTGTCAAGTGTCACACTTCAGTATCTGATCATGAGGTAAAAACAACACCTGTGCAACATCAGTCAAGCTTTTTACCACCCTGATCGACTAGCCAGGTGAAAACCGATGGAAAGTTAGTGACGATCAACTTCGAGTCGTCGTCGAGTATTAAACTAACTCAAACCTTAGTAGACCTCCATGTTTTTGCATGTTGGCACATCTGCGTCATGAAAATGTTCGTGCTGCTCTGGCTGCTAGCAGTTCCTGTTTGCACTGTACAGACATCAATACTGGAGCAAAATAAATCTAAATCTGACAATTATCAGCCAAGATCTTAAGTTGTAAGGACGTTTATCTGGAGGCAACGAGTGAATTCAAGTCAACAACAAGCGTCTGACAGCAACAGCTGTCCCTACTGCCTTGAGGAAGATTAGAATTTTACTGAGATTATTTTAATCAATTCGTCATGCAGAAATCCTCAAATTGACCCTCCTGTAATGTTATTCTTTCATTTAATGAGGCATAACAAAAACCCTGCTTATCCCTGAGATCTGACCCTGCATGCCATTATGTGAAGACCGGATGCAGCATCTTATTAGGGATGAATATAAAAGTCACATTAACTCAGTCATAAACAAATTCATGCTTGAATTTGGCATCATAGAGTCGATGCTTTCCTCCACATCTGGGGGGCATTTTGGATTCAATTTCATCCTTCAGCTTAAGATTGACTCACATTTAAATTCATAAGTACAGTTTGACCAAAACACTAATATGAGGCTCATAGAGCAAAGCTGTTGTTTATACTTCTGATCATCACAAATTACATTGAGTTGAGACGCAGGTCACTTGCGGATTTACTTGCGGTCACTTGCGGATTTACTTATATGGTATTGTTCATAACACAAACACGTTATCCTTAAATCTCATCCGTATGGCCCGAAGCAGATGTTTTGACTACGTGTATCAGATTAACTTCTCGTGGTTTAATATATACATATATATACACATTTAATATATGAGTCCCATACAGTGCACATATCTTACCTCTGGCGTTCAGTATAGCAGCGAGAAGTGCAACTTCAATTTGGCAAGTTTTATCTGTAGCATGAAAAAAATGTCAATAGCCCCTCATAACAGATTATTGCCAGAGTTCGAAAAAATGGGGGGAAAGAGAGTATTGGAATTTTCCCACATGTTAAATCAAATCGTATAACATCATTCTGTCCACAGTTTAGTGGTCAACTCCCAGCAGAGCTTTCCCTCATGTGTCTCCTCCAATCTGTTTTGCTTTCTGTCTGGCTTTTTACTGTCCAATTTGGAGAAAAAGGAAAAGGTGGATTTATCTTGCAATACCTGTGCACTTTGGTAATTTTCCATCATTTCCCTCAGTTTGATGGCTCTGAAATGTTTTGTGAGGTTGTGTCAGCTGTCATTTATGATAAAAATAAAACAAACTTGTAGGGAACAGCGAAGTCTCCCTCCTGGTCAGAAGGAGAGAAAGGAGAAACTAACTTCTCTCATGGGAATCGACAAATATGTTTCTGTTTCTACTCTTGAGACAATAAGCAGCAGCGGCGAGGAAAGCGGAGCTGTTTCAAACCCTTGTTTTTCTCAATATTCATAGTCTGCAACTAATGTATTTACATTTAGTAATAACCTCTTTATATCGCAGTTTTCATTACGGTTAAGTGGTGGAGTCCGCCACGTCCGCACTGGATTTAAATTGCCTTCACTCACGCACGAGATTCCCAGGCTATGATGCAGTGTGAAATCCAGCCCTTACTGTTTTTACTTTGATATCATAGATATCAGCTTCACTGTTAACTCTCCCACAGCAGTGTCAAAGCTGAATTATAGGTCTGGTGTGTTGGATTTAGGGGGATACTTGGTAGAGATGGAATATGATATTAACAGTGTATAATAAACTAAGACTCCGTCATGTTGCACCGAAAACACTGGCTCTAGATGGGACCATTTGCGTTCATCAGGCATCGTAGTTCTCCTACATGCTTGGCACATGGGAAAAGTTTCAGTTGGTCGCAATCTGCAAACTCACCACTAGATGTCACTAAATCCTACACACTGGACCTTTAAGTTACTGCTAATGCAAACCCATTATTTCATATTATTGCCGCTTCACCTTAAAAGCATTGAGCTGGCTCTCATTGTGAAGCAGCCACACTAAACACAATGTTTTGTATTTGTCACTAAGTTTTAACTTTAGCATTAACCGCAACTATTCTTTCAAAACAAGACATGGTCATTTTGTTAATTTCTGAGACTGAATCATTTAAAAAAACATATTGCAGGTAGTGATGCAATGAAGTTGAGAAAAATTAGACTCAAATCTCCTGTACTATCAATGCTATCCAATGACTTTTAAGACAATACATTACAATATCTTCAATCCACACACTCGAGTTCTTTCCCTACAAACATGCCTGAGTTCCTGAGAGGCAGCTCTCAGAAAAAAAAGCCAAGTTAAAAACAGCCCAGTACAGGTCATGTATTCAACTTACTGTTCATAATTGCATCTGGCGCCTACGTGCTGCCAGATTTGCAGTTATCCGTCAGTTGGTTTAATACAGTATGTGGCAAAATTCCAGCCTGACAAATTAAAACACTAGATCAAAACACAGATCTAAAAGTTCCATGCTTGGGAAAACATCGTGAGAAAGAAGGAAATTCAGAATACTTGAACTGATTTTTACGGGGATTTTTAGTAGCTCTTTTCAGGGAAAAAGAGGATTTTAACTGACAG